AGTCTGGAAAGACTTAAAACTATTTGTGTATTGTGTTGTGTTGTGTTGTGTTGGAAAGTAACCGGTGTTGATAAAAGAGTTTTTATAACATCCGACTCACAATCCTTTGCAAATAATAAGGATAACACTCCACTCAAATTCTTCTTCACTCACACTCACTTCTTCTTCACTTTTTCATTCTTCACTCACAGGGTGAAGAATGAAAAAAATTCCAAAAAAAGTTGTCAAAAAGGGCTGATATTTTTTGTGTGCAAAATAATATGTTTTCCCTGAAGAAATACTTTTTTTCAGCTCCATTGTAAGCCATTTTCATTGCTACTCCAAGAAATTTTGTTAGAACCCTTGTATTCTATGTCCACTACAGAGGATGACTTCACAAAGTTGATGCACAAAAAATTGAAAATTCTTTGGGATTCAATGATGGTCTTCTAGAAATTCAATTTTAACTGTGGATGACCAAATATTTTCCATACTATTTCTGGTACGACGACGTTCAAATAAATTCTAATTTACGCAGATTATTTAAAGTTGCTATCAACTAAAACCTTGGTCAGAATTTTTGATTGAAAAAAATAAACAGAATGAGTTCCCTTGGTTATACAGTGATGTCTGCATAAAGCAATTTTGCGTTCACTCATATTGGCGACTTTATCGCAAATGCTCAACTCTTGCCGTCAGTTCGTATGTTTTAATTTTTCGTGTCGACAGGATGGACCAAGGTGTGGGTCTGATCATACGAGAGGCGGAGTCAGCAGGTTTACTAGAAAACACCATGATCATCTTCACATCTGACAACGGGCCGCCGTTCCCGGACGGCCGGACAAATCTTTACGAAGCAGGCAAGATTTGTTTCTTTCCCCGCTCACAAGAACATTTCGGTCATATACTAAACAATTACTGGTGACACTACAAACAGTTGTCCTTTAACTGGAAGATATCGACTCAATGCTTATATTATTCCATGCATGTCTATGGGGAGCATGGGGTAAGACTCGAACTTCAGATTGGCATTATTCTCAATTCAGCGCTGGGTATTATGACTTCCTCTTACTCTACGTACATTGGCTATGGAATGTGTCAGCATTCAATATTTACAAATATGATTTGGATGTTTCGAATGCCGCATTTTTTTTTTCAGCTCGTTAGCTTGAATAATGTCCCATCAGGTTGCTTCTGATTTAATCAGTTGTATTTTGACCAGGATTAGGACTCGTCTCACTCGTGTTCGGCATTTTAGAAAGAAATGTGAGATTTTGGACGAAGGAACATACCATCATGTTAACGGCTCTCATTCTTCATTCATGAAGGGTTCAACTTCTCCCTGACCCATGAAGATCAGTAGCGAAAGCGCATTCATTTCCGGAAAAAGCGATGTTCTTGAAAACCAATTCACTGTAAAGTACTTGCTGGCAGGGCTCCAGAAAATCGATTACAGTATTGTGCAGCCATTTATTTTCTCATAAATCCCTCTTTCAAGGCATGAATGACGTACTGAATCGTGACAGCAAGCAATTTGAATAATGAATATGAAGGTACAGCATACGCAATCGAAAAGTCTTGACGGCTGATGTCACTTTCCTCGCAGGTGTTCAGATTCCCCTGATCGTATCAACACCGACTGGAACAAAGTCTATTGTGGATGCCTCGGTGACATTGTTGGATATTTTCCCGACCATTCTGGATTGGTTCGATGTCCCCTTGCCCAGATATTCTCTGAAGCATAAAGGAAAGCCAGTAGAATTCACTGGAACATCTCTGTTGCCCATCCTGAAATCAGAATCTCCTCAGTCAGGTCAGAGGTTATCGATTCGTTGTCATTGTCCATGTAGATGGAGATCGTGTTTGTTCTTTTCTATGATAAAGAATTTTCCACAAGACCTGTCTTCATGAGCCATTCATTGCATGAGATCACCATGTACTATCCGATGCGAGCCGTGAGGATAGGAGAGGTCAAAATCATTCAAAATTTGAGCTGGAGACTGCCGTTTCCGATCGACGAAGACTTTTACATGTCGCCAACGTTCCAGGTTAGTGCATAAGTGATTCGAGCCTCGTACTGTAACGTGGAGAAAGAAAATGTGAGCGGCATTTGAGTCGAGCTGATGGCTGGTACATCGATCCTGCTCAGATTTTCAATGACTTATGTCCGTCATGAAAAATTATAACATACTTCATTGTTCTACTATTCGAGAAACAGTATTCAAATTCGAATTTTTTCCAAACAGACCAGCAGGATGAGGACAACACATTTGCATTTTATTTGGACCATGCCATTATTTTACACTTACCATGCAGTTTTTAGCAAAGTACCGTATTTACTTGAGTACCATGCGCCCTCAAGTAAGGCGCACACAGGGGTTTTTCAGTTGGAAATTTTGCTAAAATCTTATCCCCAAGTAAGATGTGCACCCGAATTTTTAGTGAATCTGAAACCACAAAATTTCAAAAAACAAAAACATGACTTTAGACATGAATTTAAGAAAAATCTGATCAATTTTCAACTGTTTCAGTACAAAAAGTTTTCTTGTTACATTTGTTCCACATTTATCCATTATAATCAAGTATGATGCACACATAACTTCCTCAAAATTCTTAGAAAATTTTTACCAGCTTATGATGTGCACGCCTTTTTTTCTTCTGAAATTTGAGAAAAAAGGTGTGCATGGTATTCAGGTAAATATGGTATTCAGGAAGTTTATGTCGTGAGTTGTATCATAGAAGCACCTGCTACATGTGTTGCCTTTTATTGTGTCACTTACTTGAAAAAAAAAGCTCCTTCCCAGCGTAACCAATAAGGGATGTGAAAATGTCCTCGTTTAAAAGCAAATGCATAACGTACCTCTTGGAATGCATCACTAAAATCAAAGGCAACATCGGAAATATTTCATGCTGACGAGCTAGCCTGATGGAGCCATGCATGGCTACACGGTACATGTGTTACCTGCGCACATTGCATTATTATGCTTCTGGGCCCGAAGTTTCTGTCGAACTTGAGCCGGGAGAGGATCTGAGACAAACCGACGAGGAAATGTCGCCCACCTTTGCTGTGATTCAAGTTTATTTGAGAAGCAGGAAAGCCATGTGCGAGGAGTCAATAATTTGTCCCGGACGATTCTCCATCTACCTAGCAAAAATTTACACGACGCGTCTGCACTCAGCATAAAATAATTACGCTTCAAGGGTAGCCACACAAATGACTGAACACCACATTACTACAACATCCTGGTACAGTCAAACCTGGATAAGATGCCACCATTTGTCCAGAGCAATTCTGGAGGTTTAAAGGGGTTGGCGGTTTATCAAATATATAATTTTAAATCATTTCATCAAAAATACTTGATTTTCCTTCAAAAGAAATAGAAATAAAAATTTTTCAGAAAATCCAGTAATTTTCCTAATAGTATTGCTGTGATTTATGCATTACTCCTTTGGAAAATAACTTTTCCTGTGTCAATTTATTCAAATTTTAAAATTAGGTCTATATATTGTTCAAAGTTTTCAAAAAATGAAGATTGTCATTTTGTTTTCTTCTTACCAATACAAGATCCTGGACAGAAAATATAACTGTACCCCAATGTTGGCATTGTAAGAAAGACAAAACTAATAGAAAACATCACTTTTGTTTCATCACTAATGCTGGCGGATGGTAGTTGCGTCTTATCCAGGTTTTCCATGGCATTTATTATTGAGGAGATTCGTTTCATTCAAAATGTTGGTGGTTGCCAATGGTGGCGCTTTATCCAGGGGAGTCCTTACTGGGTTTGACTGTACATACTTGTGCTGTACATTATATTTACTATAGGAACAGCCGTCAGTTTCATGAATAGAAATCCATCTTAAGTTAGTTGTACTGTATTTGGAATTGCACATCCTCGAAAAACGTAAAAAAAGGACCATCTTATTCGATAGCTCCTCTTACGTCAGCGCCATCGTTGAAGACCACTAGAATTATTTACTGGTTATTGCACTTGAATCATTGTCATAGTGAATACATTCGTACTTTTTCACATCAAGGCAGGGGAATACTGAGCTAATCTAACCGCAAAGGTTATTCTAGCATAAAAACCACCCGAGGATCTGTGACCTGTAAAGGAAATCAGATTCCTCCTCAACCAAAGCTTGGAACATTGGGGTGAAACAGAAGGATCAAGTAGTCGGATAATGGCTGGATGCTTTGTTAGTACAGTAGTTGTGAAAAGGTTAGGTTTTCAGTCCCAACTCCCAACGTCAAAGCCAAAAAGTCATTGAAGACAATCACGCTAATTCAAATGCACAACGGTTTTTGAGAATACAATCCATAAACCTTTTTTGGAGTTCCATTGGACAAGAAGATTTTCAGTGGAATGTTTTATTTTGTTTTATTTTGGAGGAGTGTGTAAAAGAGGCTTGTTGAAGCTCAAATCCCTGTTCTTCCGCTCCCTGCTCTCTAATTGGCTACTCAAGTAAACCCCAAGATAAAAACTGTACATTGTACATACTGTACTTGTTTTTTACCATAGTTAGGTTCCTGGTGTTTCCCCGTCAGAGGCACTTACTGAAGGCTATTTCCGGCTTTTTTTTTAGAACAGCAGTGCAGTGGACTTGTTTTCTTGATAATCTAAAGCAGTATAATTCTGAGGGCGCGTCATTGTCCGCAACAGGCCCTTCAAGTCATATTTTGCTGAAGTCAAACAGAAAAAAAAATCGCCCGCATCGATAGATTCGGAACCCAAACGTTATATCCCGGATAATTTACAGTGAAGTCTGTGACGCACTGTTGGAATTCTCCTCCCTAACTTCCTGGGGAAACAAACGAGAAACAATGATAGATACAGTAATAAAATACATATTTTCGCGAGTCGGAAAAAAACTACAGTATCCCCAGCTGCCATCTCTCCTTTGGATGCATACAGGGGCAGCAGAATCCCTCTGATATCGGCAGGATTCGGAAAATATCCAAACGCTCATTTACATCTGAATATTTTTGAATTTTATGTCATAAAATGTTCAACTGAATGAAAAAAGTATTTTTCCTTGCGTCCAGAAGGATGGCGAGCAGAAAATCAGACTAGCCAACAGCAGCACGCATTTTGCGAACCTGTTGGCGCGTCGTGTAGTGACGAGAAATGATCATGATACTACATGATTTACTTAGTATGTCTGTAGATGTCGCGATCCTCGAAGCGTAAGTATGAATTGAGAGAAGGTGGCATCCGGTGGGGCATGTACAAACTTGCGCTCAACCAAGTGCCCAACGAAAAGGAGGGTGACTTGCGGTCCCTCCCATCCGGCCTTTCTCTGGAAGGCCCGCACCGTATGGTGCAGGAGACTTCTGAAATTCAGCGTCCAGAGGGAGCTGCAGTTGATTGTGTAGAACGTGGCGGCTTCCACAAATTTCGAGAAGTGAAAAACTACTGAAAAGGTAAGTTTTCACATTTAAAAATTTGTGACACTTGGATTAACCGGAACTCTGAAGAACACGATCATCAAGATTATGATAAGCAGAAGATGGAGTTTTGGAAACCGCCATGCTCTGCACCAGTGTTAGCCATTTTCCGCAGACCAGCGATAGTCTGCTAAAGTTTTTGACTGATCTGTGGGAAGTTTCTCTCTAGGCTAATGAATTTTTCACAAGTATAGGCATGAAGAACATTGCAATATTTTTTCTTAATTTTGGCCAGACAATCGCAGTTGAAATTATCTCATGGAAACATTTTTTTCTTTCCTCTTGATGATAATTCAAACAAATTTTCACCTGATTTAATAAATTACTTAAATTTTTGAGTCTGAAAAATCTTTCTTCAAGCCCACCTTTCCATTTGTTGAACACATATAATAGCTGTTTCATTGCTTCCTGAATTAATTTTGCAAGAGAAGCAGAAGCTTTTCAATTACCTGCCCTTCAAACTGTCATTCAAGCAACACTTTTTTGAGTAGGCAAACATGTGAAAATGTGCTTTTCCTCAGAAAATTTCATGAAACTTAGCCTGTCCACAGAAATATTTTTGGAAATTTGCCAGTCCACCGGAACAAAAAATTAGGGGAGCAATGCTCTGCACAATTAACAACTGCAGCTCCCTCTGGCTGCTGAGTTTCAGAAGTCTTCAGCGCCATACATGAGGGCCTTCCAGGGAGAGACCGGAATAGGGACCACATTTCCCCCTTTCATTCTGAGAGCCTCCCCTCGTGGTGCTTCAGCACTTTGCTCCGCGGAACTTCGTCCGTCCCTGTGGCATGATGACATGGGTGCCCCCATCATTAAGAAAATATGTTCCCTATATTTGGAATACATTTCCAAAACTCAATATTTCATGATTTCAATTTCTCCAAGGACGAATTCAACCTCCACAGATGTAAGTTACGGTACTCTGCTCAATCTCTTTTTCAGGGAATGCTGAACAGAACCAAGGAACACAAAAGTTTGAACTGGCACAAAACTTTGAAAGATTACTATTTTCGAGAGCGGTGGGAAACGTTTCTCATCGAAGATTTCCGTGAGAAGCGTTTGCCGGAAAACTTGACGGTAAGTCGGAACATCGCCAAAAAATGCTGAAAGCTGTTCTCCCTGCAGCAACGTCGATTTTCCAGATTTTGCAGACTGTGTTCCATGAACTTCAGGATTGGCAATGGAGAACTGACGACCCGTGGGTCTGTTATCCAGACAAGGTACTTGAAGGCGGAACTGTGGATGAACCGAAACGAAGCTGTTTACCGTTGCTTAATTCATACTACCCGTAACATGAGAACACTCTCAAAAGAATTTCTTCAAATCTTCATCAAGCTTGCGCAGTGACGTGGAAGACTTCCGGAAACCCTTGCAACTTGGAAAAATTATTCGTAGCACATAATGATTCGTAGAACCAGGTGACTTCTGCGAGCGAATTGGCTGAGCCATTTGGTACACCATTCCTTCAAATTTCTTACTTCAATATTGATGTGTGGCGCGTACGATGACGTGTTGATATTCACCGCTGAATTTTCCGATTATTTGCGGAAAAACCATTTTCAAATTCTGTATACTAACTCAATATCCGGGAATTTCACTATTTATGAGCGGTGATTGAGATAATAAAACTTTATGAATGGACTTTTTCCGAGCAATTTTGACAGTTTGGGCTTTCAAAATTGATTCATGCCGAAATTTGATCTGATGTTAGTACTGTATGTGTGTCAGCTGGGCTCTGCACAGATTATCTTAGAAATCAGTTATTTACTCATTTCACTTGAATAATAACCTTGATTAAACTTACTGCATGCATACCGACGCCGGTGTTCAGTAGAGTAGAAGTGACTCCGCTGATCACTGAATTTTAGAGAATAGCTCCCTGGTGAAGCTCCGTGCGGGTAAGGGTCAAAAATCACAAAATTTTAAACAATACCGGAATCAATTGCGCAATGTTTTCAATTGGGAGGCATCAAAACCTGAGCGAGATTTGACTGGATTATATAAGTGAATATTCTGCATTTTCCCGATGGACTTGATTTGTACATTAATTTGATTTTCAAGAAGCATCAAACAAATAAAAATTGCGGGCTGCACACCAGGTTGATGTGAATCAAACAACATTTTTAAACCTGGGATATAGGTATTTCTTCTGCTGAATTTTCACAACCATTTTGACATATACAATGCATGCATGCCTCTTTATAGATTAGGCTTGTTGAAAAAGTTTTATTGACCACACAAGCACAAAAGGAGAATGGTGTGGACAGGGAACAACCAGTGATCAGACAAGAATGAAAATGATGATGACACCATTTTGGTAACTGGTTGATATTGGTGCATCAGACCAAAACAGAGTACAGTGAGACCCCCACATGCGGACACCTTGACATGGGGACAATTTGACTTGGGGACACTTACTTTTTAACAAAAAAATCATAAAAAAGACCCAACATGAGGACACTGACTTGACCTGGGGACATTGCAGGATAAAATTCCAAAATAAATTTCAGGAAAATTGATTTTTATAAGGCTTAATTGCAAAAAACAGATGTTTCCAACCTAAGATCTATGCAAGANCAGGATAAAATTCCAAAATAAATTTCAGGAAAATTGATTTTTATAAGGCTTAATTGCAAAAAACAGATGTTTCCAACCTAAGATCTATGCAAGAAAAATTCTTTGGTACTTTCCCATCATTTTCCCATCCATTCAGCTAATTTTAAAAATGCCCTATAGCACAGAGGGACTTCCTTCTAGCTCTCTTTGTGAAGTGGATGTTATTTTTCCGGATGCCAACTTTTCAATTTACTGTACAGAGGTTAACTATTCAATGTTCCAAATGCTCTTATTGGTTTGAAAAAATAATCATTGAATCAAATTCAAGTGGCAAACTTTTTTTCATGAAATTCTGAAGAATGTTTCTTCCATAAATCACCAATTAAAAATTCTACAATGTAAGTCTATGGGAAAACAAGATTTGACTTATGGACAATCTGACATAGGGACACTCTTGATGCACCAATTATGTCCGCATCTGGGGTCTCCCTGTATTCTCAAAATGTTTTGGGAGTTGGGACACACTGAAGCTATGTCTGATGACAAATTATAAGTAAAAAGAAAAGTTCCTCTTTTTCAGGAGTGGATCTCAAGAAGTGCATTCGAATTCCTTCCTGTAAAAAGCCTTGGAAACAGAAATGGCTCTTTGTTATTGATGTTCTCAAACTCAATATTGCAGCGGGGGAGGGGGGGGGGGGGTGTAGGCAATTATGAAAAAAAAATGATGGAAACTGACAGTGGTAAAAATTAGGATGTGAAAATATTCCTGAATAATTTATTCCAAAATTCGAATTTTTCACATCTTATAATCTCTGCAAACTTTCACATGTACCAAACCTTTTACAGTATATTCCGTGGGGTTAGATGCAATAAGAGAAATTTTAAACATTTTCACATTGAAAAAATAAATAATTTTGGAGGTTATGAGCAAGAAACTGATATTTTTTATTTTGTAATTGAGAGACTAATCCCTATGTTTCTTTGATTCATGTATTGACAGTGTATAAAGTGCAGGTGTTGAGAAGTTACAGAATTTGCTGTTTTTTTCTTGCATTGTCCCCTTTTTTAAAGCCATGTGGAACATTTGAAAACATCCCCAAGTTTTCAAAGCGGGAAAATTCCACCTTATTTTTAACAGTTTGGGTGTTCATTTATTTTTTCCTTTTTTGTAAGGGAAGAACATTTATTTTTCCCTCAATCACAAAATCTAAAAAAAAATTAATTCTTCGCTTTTCTTAAATTAGCTATATTTTTTCAACAAAAAGCATGACAATTCTGTAAAACTTCTCTGTACATCCCACAACATTCAAATGTGAAGTTATTTGGTGCAGGAGAAAGTTTTGCACACATTTTTAAATTTGAAATAAACTGGAATTTTTCAAGATGTGTTTTAGAAAAGGTTCTACATCCTCCTTTTCACATCAGTCAATTTGGGTTATATTCATGGTTTAATGATATGAAGTGTAGATGAGAACCTTACGGTACTTCCAATGGAGTTTGCAATTTGCATCTTATTGTATAATAACATTTTTGGAAAATTTTTAATTCAAAGAAAATTGGGAAGAAAAACAGAAACCAGAATTCAAACTTTTCAGGCTAGACCAATTTTATTTTTTGATTTTCATGAAACTTGAAAATTGTTCCACGCAGCAAAGAATGGGGCATTGGGCTGGGAGATAATGGGGGGATGGCATTGCCAATGCCATGGCATCGCCATTTAAGAGTGGTGAGGATTGTAGCCAATGCCCTTTTTATTGGTGCAATGCAAGTTTAAAGCATTGCCAATGCCAATAATGTCCCAATGTTTGAAGAAAGGCATTGCTGAAATGCCATTGAACCCACCTTGTCATGTCATTATATCAAAACATCCAGCAAAAAATGTGCACATCATTAATGTTTGTTCACTTGATCATCACAGTGAAGTTCTATGTTCAATCAAACATTGCAGTAAACTCTGTTTCAGTTCTGAAGAATTGTAATGTGCTGATGAAAAAATTTAATAAAGCCTAAAATGTTTATCAAACTTTGAAGATCTATGAAAAGTTTGCTAATTAAAATAGAAGTGTGTTTAAATAAATCAAATGGTCCCCACAACAAGGCAAATGAATCCTTTCTTTGTAATCAACAACAAACAATTCCTCAGCGATGTACTCAACAATGTACCAATGATGTTCATTTGAACACTGCAGGTAAATTGTTTCTTAAAGGTGAGAAGCAATGTACCTGCAATGTTCAAGTGAACATTTCTGGTACATTGCTGGTAGCACATTGCTAAAGAATTGTTTACCATTAATTACAATAAGAAATGTTGATTGGCTTCTCAGAAAAATGGATACACTACAGAGCTTATTTTACAGATGGTTTTTTCACATTCCAAAATCATGCAGCATTAGAGCTCTTAGATTATTATTTGGACGTTGTTGTGCAGTGTGTAATGTAAACAGTTGCTTTCTGATGTTCTTACATAGGTTGGCAATAGCCAATAATCAACTTTCAACTGAAGCAATTAAAGAATTCTGGAAACTAACAGTATCTGAGAACAAACTGCCCACTACAGTAAACTTGAAATTACAGGGATTCAAAACATTCTACGTTAAATTGTCTGCAATGTACCCAGAATTGAGTGCAATAATATCTGCAGAAGATTTTGTCCAGTTTCTCAAGTGTAACATCAATAAAGGCAGAGAAAAGATTGTAATCACGCAGTTTTGTCATGATAATTGTGATGTTGTAGACTCAAGTACACTACTAGCTGTTCTTGCTTGTGGCAATACTAAACCATTACTATTTGCATCATCTAACATCCCTTTAATACATGATGCTGTAGCTATTATAACAAATTCATGGCACTTTAGTAAAAAATTCATCCAACTCTCAAAGATTTATAAGTGGTGTAACTCCTGCAGCATAAATACATTAGTTTGGGCATCATCAGAGCACCTTTTCTTCTTATGTTCAGCATTTCAAATGGATAGAAATCAGCTTAAGAAAGATATAAAATTACTGAAATTCAATGAAGAGACACTTTCTGAAATCTTAAAGGATCAAGATACATTTTTGGCCTTATATGATTTCTCTTCAAAGATTCTCTCTAAATTGTTCATTGAACTAAAACTCATACAGAAACAGGCTGAAGACCTTGCGCTTTAAATAAACTTTTACTGCTGCTTTTTCTTCAATATTGGGGATGGGTGGGTTTATGCAGCATATGTGTAGGATGTCCAGTTTTATTTTATTTTGTTGAGTGTGTTCTCTTCTGTTTTTTGTCATTGGTTTGTGCTTTGTTTCATGATTTGAAGTGATTGAATGTCTTTGGTGGGAGTTGGGTTGGGTGGGGAGGGGTTTGGATGCGGGAGTCTTGGTTGTGCCTTGTGAACGCTGAAAAGCGGCAAATAAAGTTTTCTGTTCATTCATTCATTGATTGGCTGAACTGTCAGAAAAATTTGATTTTTTAAAATGCCCTTCTATCTTACTTAACCAACTTTCACAGATCTCCGAAGTTTGAGGAACATTTCAGACTTTGCTTAATTTTTTAACAGTAAGAGCTCTTCAAAGCTGGATCCAGCTTCAAGAATAATAAGTTTAGCTCTGGATTGATTGTTAAGGTAAACTAGTATTGAACATAGCTGGAAATGTTCAATCATCAGCAGAATATATTTTCAAGTAAAAATATTTCCAGAGTTTTTTCACAGCAGAGAATACAGTGAACAAGAACATATATACAGATAGAGTAAAGAAGAAACCGGAAAGAATACAGCACGAAGAAGGCAAAGTAAGGAAGTAAAAAGCTTCAGATGAATTGGAAACTTATTTTTCTCTTTTTTCAGGCTGAAAGATGTTGGAGCAATGCCATTGGTATTGCCCCAGAATTGCATAATGGCAATGGGAACTCAATTGCAGGCAATATATTGCCTTCTTAAATGAAGTTGCTGTGGAACTTTGGCAATACAATCCCAATGCACTCATCCTCCCTTATTCTAATGCTGGGGCATAGGAGGGTGACCAAAATGATGTTTCCTCAATGTTTCAGGGACAACACCATGCCAATGCTTCTGCAATGCAATTTACAATGCCAGAATTATTTG